ATATGGTCTTTGTCTATTACATGCTCTGCCAAAGCATTAATTAATTAAGAAACCATCTTGTGCTTTGGCAGAGCATGTAATAGACAAAGACCATATTATGGATTTTGATAATATTAAAATTTTATGTAATGAAAGTAATAAATTTAAAAGAACTTTTTTGGAAATGGTTTGTATTAGCAAAAGTGATAATAATTTAAACAAAAGGTCAGAAATTCAAAATTTAAGCAAAATTTATAATTATATAATTTCTATTTAATTTATGCAGTCAGTAAAATATCACATTTTGAATTTTCCATGTATTTGTTACATTTTTCCGGGCATCTATCAATGGTGAATAAATTTTCTTCTTTTTTGTTACTAAACAAAGAAGAATTTTTTAAACAAAATTTTATTTTTGACAATATGTCAAAAATAAAAATTTTTAAGTTAATATTTATGACGTTTTAGGCTGGTTGTAGCTATTCTATATTTGTTTATATTTTCAATTTTTTTCTTAAGAAAATTCATCTAAATTTTTCAGAGAAACATTTGTTAGAATAAGACATTTTTTTTATTAATATTTTTTGTATTTATTATGTAAGCAGTAGTTTTATATAAAAAACTAATTTTATTTGGTGAGTTAACAAAAAATTTTTTTATTTCTAGTTCAACTTTGTAAGACATTTTGTATTTTTTAGAAGCTCTTGATAAAAATTGTAATCACAATTGAAAGCTCGAGTAAAAAATAGTCAACAAATAGCCCCTTTTATTGACTCCAACCCATCAAAAACAGTGTTATATTTTTTCCAAACGAGTCACAAGTACTTCTTTTTTCTTACTCTTATATATATATATATATATATATATATATATATATATATATATATATATATATATATATTATATATATATATATATATATATATATATATATATATGATATATTCTTCAGTATAGTTTTAAAATATTGTAAACATTTCATTTAATTAGCGAAACAAAATGGTTCAACAAAATAGAATGGTCCATTTACTCGACACTAGGGGAGTCCCTTTCAACATGTAAAAATTTCATTTTGTGAATAACATGATCTTTGAAGGTATATTTGAATACTTGCAATTATTGTAATAAAAAAAATTAAATGTATTAGATTAGATTTACTTACAATATTGTAAAAAATAGATTGATAAATTTACATAGATAGGATAAAAAATATATAAGTAAAATTTGTGGGAGAAGAAATTATTCTAACTTTATTTCTATCATAGGGGAAAGGCACCGAATTTGAGACAGGCGCCTAATTTGAGACACCGTCGTATATTTGTGTACGATAGTGTGACATCTAGTTAAAATATTAAAAACTGATCATTCTGTGAAGTAATGGTAGATCTGCTTTTAGTTGACGCTTAGAAGTGACCTTTGTTGTTTTGTCGACGGTAATTTGATTTACACATTACACAAATTTTTTTCGGAATTTTTAAAAACTTACAATACATCAAGGTAAGATGATTACATTTACTCCAATTATTTTTTTTTGTTAGTTTAATATTAGTTAATACATTTTATGCAAATTAAACGATAATTGTGTGTCATACATAACCAAAAAATATGCGTTTTATTTTTAACGGAAAAATCCTAATTTGAGATACCTGTAGGTTCCAAATTTGAGAGTGTCTCAAATTAGGACCCCTTGTAAATTTTTTATTTTTATGTGTTTTGTTGTTTGTAGATGCCGCCAAAAAATAAAAAATGGAACGCAGATAATATGATACGTGCTGTAAATACAGTAAGAAATAGAGAGATGGGCTATTTGAAGGCCTCAAAAGTTTTTGGAGTACCAAAAGGTACCTTAGAACGATATGTGAAATCAGACAAGACTCCAGAAGAACTTGTCGGGATATCAATTGGGCGCCGACCTATTCTTCCTTTGGAATTAGAAAATGAGTTGGTTGAGTATGCCCTAATTATGGAGCAACGTTATTTCGGACTAAGAGCGCGTGATATAAAACGACTGGCATTTCAACTTGCAATACGAAACTCAATAGCACATCCATTTAGCGGAGTCAAAAAAACAGCCGGAAAGAAATGGTTAAGGCTCTTTCTGAAAAGACATCCGGCGCTTTCAATGCGTACTCCTCAGGGAATGTCATGTGCACGAGTAAAATCTTTTACTCCTGAAAATGTATCCAAGTTCTTTGACCTGTATGAACCAGAATATCTTAAGCTTACTAACCCTGCACAACGTATATTCAATGTAGACGAAACGGGCCTTACAATTGTTCAGCACAAACATAGTAAAGTAATTTCCATGAGAGGGAAGAAGCAGGTTTCGTCACTTACTTCAGCAGAAAGGGGCAAGCTGATTACTGCTATTACATGTATGAATGCTGCAGGAGTTTTCGTACCACCATTATTAATCTTCCCCAGAAAAAATATGAAATCAGAGTTGATGCTAGGAGCTCCCATTGGAGCAATCGCAGAATGCCATGTGTCAGGTTGGGTACAGGCCGATATTTTCACTAGATGGCTTCAACACTTCATAAAATTCACTAAACCTTCAGCTGCAGACCCTGTTCTTCTCGTCCTTGATGGTCACTATTCTCATACGAGAAACGTTGCTCTAATAGATTTGGCCAAACAGAATCATGTGACGATTATTTGCCTCCCACCACATTCTACACATAAAATGCAACCGTTGGATGTTGCTTTTATGGCACCGCTGAAAACTTACTATGCACAAGCAATAGAAAACTGGCTTAGAGAAAATCAGTTGAGTGTTGTGTCGCCTTACGCCGTTGCCAGTATTTTTTGTAAAGCGTATAACAAAGCTGCGACGATGGAAATATCTTGCAATGGTTTCCGCAAAACTGGACTGGTCCCTATTTGTCGCCATATTTTTAGGGACTTTGAATTTGGAATTCAAGAGCACTTAGAAACACAAAACGAAAAGGATGAACAAATAATAGAAATAAACCATGAACAAGCAAATCATCCAATACAAGAACATAGAACTCCTAGTCCACCACTACCTCATCAACAACTTGTTTCTCCGAAAGACATCTGTCCAATTCCTAGATTCTACGAGAAAGATACAACTAAAAAACCACATGCCAGATCAGGAAAGGCTTCAATAATTACTTTAACACCCTACAAAGAAGAATTAGAGCAAAGTTTGCAGAAGAAAAAAGCAAAAAAACTAGTACCCCAGCTAAACTTGGATTGTGTATTTGCTCCAGAAAAAAACAGTTCAACAAAAGGTGTTAGATCAAAAAAAACAGCAATGCCCGAAGAAGAAATAGCAGATGAAGACGTAGATCAACCTTCTACATCAAAAGGCAAAACATCAAGAAGGAAGCGGAAAGTTTCTTCGAGTTCAAGCTCAGATAGCAGTGAAAACTTTCCATTAGCTGATTCATCGTCCAACGAAAGTGAAGAAAACGACGCGGAATGTTTATTTTGCACCGGCAAATTTTCCGACGATAGATATGGCGAACGATGGGCAAAGTGTTACCAATGTGGCAGGTGGGCACATGAAGACTGTGGAGAAATAAAGTCCAGCACATTTATTTGCCTTTTCTGCGAAGGAAAGGGCTTTTTTGAATAGTATCTCAAATTAAGGTACCTGTCTCAAGTTTAGATACCTGACTATCCCAAATTAGGGCACCTTTTATTTTTAATATTAAATGTCGCAAAAAAATTAAATGTATTTTTTTGCAAAAATATATGTTTTATTCGCTTTTTTTTTGTTTTGTTGTGTTCTAGAAACATTAAGTTTAAGTTTTCGAAATGAATGTTTTAAAAATTTTAAATATTCTGTTTTATATTTGTTTTTCAAAAAAAGTGTCTCAAATTTGGTGCCTTTCCTCTATCACATTATTATTAGATTATTTAAAATTTTATTAAAGAAGTATACATTCCATTAGGAATATTTATCATTTTTACATTTAAACTTGCCTTAAATATTATTAAAAAAAATTTAAACAAATTAGATGGTTTATTTGACAATTTATTTATTGAACTAATGCATATTCGTAATGTACGCAAAAAGTACATACAAGTTCAAAAAGAAACGCAAATTTTGACCGTATTTTAAGCACTATAAAGGCCCGTTTTCACGCTACGTCTTATTGTACGTTTTGTTGGAAGGAAAAACATAGTGTGTATACACTGGACAAAACGTACGTTTTATATGACCAACAAAACGTACAATAAGACGTAGCGTGAAAACGGGCCTTAAGACACATCATTCCATAAAATATAAATGTTAAGTATAAGTTTATTTTCAAAAAAATTATTAACATCTATAAAAACCGACATTTTTTATTTATTTTGCAACTTCCTAAGCAACAAATAAGAATATAAAGATTTAGAAAACGCCATTTTAAACGTTATTATCTGACTTATAAGTTTCTTTTCTTCTAAAATTTGTTTAAAATGCTTCACTTTTTGCTGATAGACAAAAAAAGCAAAAATTTTCATTTTTTGACCTTAATTTGTTAATAACTAATTAAATCCAAAAAATCGACTGCAGGAAACAGAGAACCATACTACTCAAAACAATTATCGTTTGCCTGGCCGGACGAGTGTCAAAAACAGGGTACTTTTTTTATTATTTTCCTGGCAAATGACAGTGAAGTGAACGCTGTAATTTAAAATAAAATACATTTATTTGATCGCAGCGAGGCTCGGTGCTCGGCATCTAGTAGTGTCAATCGTAGAGTACTAAGGACGAGAATCGAAAAAATACTAAGCTGGAATACTATGGTCCAACTCCATGGTCCGATACCTGGCTCTAGGCTGGGCGATGCGCGTTGACGGTGAACGCTGGAATTTTTAAAGTAATGCATTTATTTTACGTAGCAATGATACTATGATACCATCCTATGGTCCGACCAAGATTCGGCGTCTTGTTATGAACGCACACTTACTCATGTTATATTTTACTACATATTTGTAAATTATAGTTTTCTCTGTCGTAAAACATTTCATAATATCCTAAATTGAGGTTGGTTGGTATCTTTCAGCCATCGGCGGGAGGCAACCCAACCACACTCAATGATGGTAAAAGAGTGATCAACAGCCCGTCCTGTTACAGCGAGAAGAATTCGGACACGGTTCTGCAGCCCCACGGCCAACTGCGACAGCCCACTAGCCTCGGTGAACTACCTACCGCACTACACCATATTCAGCAGACCATCCCTCAACAACTCCACACAGCATCGCACCACCTTCGTGGCGATGACGTTTCTAGCGGTTACGGCAGTCCAGATTCCGACACTTTCGAGACCCAGTGACAGCAGCTGCACGGCGCCATCCGTGGGGCGCCCCTTGTGAACGGAGGACGCCCTTTGAACACCAAGGGCAAGCACCGGAGAAAAGCTAGCCATACCTAATATCATTGTTTTGTTTTGTTTTTTGTATAAATTAAATTGTAAATAAATTATTTAAATTTATGTTATTACTTCAATTAATGAAAAATTAAACATATATACTTGATATTGTTCTTTCCCCTATAATATTTTAAGTGGAGATCTGAAGGAAATACTTACAAAGTAAAATATAAAAAACAAGTATAAGCCAAATCAAAAATGTATTAAAATACTGCAAAAGATAATGTCTTGTCTAAAATTTATAATGAAGACTGAAGGCCAAAAGTTTACAAAAAAAACTGCTGAATTCCAAAAGTAGAATAGAAAATTATGAAGTCCAAAAGTTAACATCAAAAATGATGAAGGCTTAAAATTAAATAAGAAAAGTAAAAGTATATAAATCTGTTTCTACTTTAACTGAGAGTTGAAGTTCTACACATCTCGAAAGTCACTTTACGGGTGGGACTCCTAGTCTGGGTGGTAAAACTCGGAATAGGGCAGTGGACAAAATTGGTCAATCATTTGCTGTTTTATAGTATTCAAGTTATGATATCTTAGTCTTACTTATTGAAGTTATGTTACTTACTCTTATCTAGACATAATTACATTATGCTCTACTCCAGACATCTAGAAAAATAAAGTAGAAGAACTGAATAATACTTTATTTTGGTAAATTTTACTTAAGAGGGGAGCAAAGATTTCGTTCTTGATTTTATTTTCTAGGTTTTAAATTAAATGACTCAATAGATTGTTAGATATTAGATATATTATTATGAATAGTGAAAGATTACAACAACATACAAAAGTATTACATTAGAACAAAATTACAAAAGGATTACATTACAAAAGTATTAGAAGAACACACAAAGTATTTTTTCGCACAGTGCATTGGTCGAAGAGGTGCAATAGAATGACCAACTAGATCTCTAGGTTTTAAAATCTTAGATTTTTTTCCTTTGATGTACAGTTGCGGTCACGGAATAGTTTACACCTTACTTTTTATATTGTAATACTGTAAAATTGCAGTGTAGTACGGATTTGATAAATGTCAAAGTCAAAAAATTTCAAAACGTCAATGCTTTCGCGAGTGTTCAACAATAAAATAAAAGTATATTAAACTCTTCCAAAATGGTTAGAATACATTTGAATTATGCGCAAAAAGCAAGAGCAATTGCCAAACTCGAAGAAGGTTGGTCACTAAGGCAAGTTGCTGCTGATTTGAACGTGAGTCATATGTGCATATGGAAGATTAAACAAAGATGGGATAATTTTCACTCTATAGCACGGTTGGGCGGTTCAGGAGGGCAGAAGATTTCCACAGATCAACAGGATGAGATGTTAGTAGATTATTTGAGAGAATCTCCTTTTGCCACAGCTCAAAAGGCAAGAGAAGAGGCAGCGTTTCCAGGCAGTATTCGCACTGCACGTCGAAGAATTAAAGCAAGTGGACTGCTAAATTGTGTAGCTGCACGGAAACCTTTTTTGACTGAGGATCACAAGAGGAGACGAGTTGAATTTTATAATGAATTTATAAACCGCGATGAGAATTTTTGGTCTAGGGTTGTATTTTCCGATGAAAAAGTATTTCAGTCGTATAATAATGGTCGAATAAGAGTTTATAGGCCGAGAAATCATAGGTATGATGAACAGTATACGCATCATTTAAGAAATAGTGGAGGATTCTCTGTCAACGTATGGGGATGGATAAGTGCCGAAGGCCCGGGCGTTTGTTATCATGTAGAGAAGAAGTTAACAGGATTATATTACAAACATATTATTGAGCACACAATGTTGCCATCGGTGATCCAGAGATTCCCCAACAACGACTTTATCTTCCAACATGACAATTACCCGGTGCATACGAGTAGAATTGTTCGAGAATGGCTAGAAGAAACTGATGTTAATGTTCTTCCGTGGCCTTCCCGTAGTGCAGACTTTAACCCCGTCGAAAATGTGTGGGCAGAGTTAACAAAGAAACTAAATGAAAGAAACCTTAGACCACGGAATAGAATTGAATTATGGGAAGCAATTGAGCAGGCATGGGAAGAGCTTGTTAACTATAACATGAGGGGATTGGTGCTATCTATGAACAGAAGACTGCAAAATTGTATTGACAAGAATGGGGCTTCCACCAAATATTAATTATTATTTATCATTGTTTATCGTTATTTAATATAAAATAGATTTAAAATAAAATGCATATTAAAAAAAAAGACTTCTTTATTTTCGTTATTAAGATCATAATCCATTTTATTCAAAAAACTGTTTTCTATATTTTTCATTTTGTAAAATATTTTGATATTTTAATTTTAATCTACCTATTCTAGCTAGTACACCACTGGCAACGTCACTTTGACGTAAAAGGTGCGTTTAAACGAAGTAAAAATTTAAAAAATGGGCTCCTAGATACGTGAACCTGTAAACTATTCCGTGACCGCAACTGTACCTACACCATGACTACTAATAAAAAGTTCTAGCTCTGAATAATTTTGTGGCTTTATACTATTGTCATTGGTCTGTATGTTAGCTACAAATGGTCTATCTGTGACAAAGGAGCTTAAAAAATCCTCCTCTTTGAAAATTTCAGAATCTACAAGTAATATTTCAGTTTTTCGAAATGACGACAGAATATTAGTAGGATTAAAAGCTTTTGGTACTAATTTATCTACAATACCGGTAACATCATAACTGCTACAATTCCGGCAACAGGAACAACTGGATGACTGATCATCCAATTATCAGTCTCTTTGTTATAAAAATCTTGAATGGACTTAGACATCCCACATCAAGGGGCTGAAGTTTATAGCTGCAGTGAGGTGGTATTGTTAGTAGTACTATACCATTGTCTTTGAAGTATTTCATAATTTTATATTCACAGTGGGTTTCATGATTGTCGATGATTAGTAATATATTTTTTTTTCTTTACTACATCTTATAAAGTCTTCTCTTCTTAGAGTGCCGTCTCCCTACGGAGGTTGGCAATCATAGTGGCCATTTTTATTTTTGAACTTACTGCTCTAATCAAATCAATCGATCCGCATTGATACCAATGACGTAGATTCTTCAACGATGAGTTATGCCTTCGATCTTCGATGAGATCTTCTTCCTTGAATCTTTCCCTGTATTATGAGTCTCAAAATTTCATATTTTGGTCCCCTCATCACCTAGCCTAGGTATTCCAGTTTTCTGGTTTGTATAGTCGTAATTAGTTTTGTTTTTTTACCAACCCTCTCCACTTCTTTATTTGAAATTCTATCAATGAGTCGTAAAGTCTACTAAATATTTAAGAAAATTTATAAAATTATCGGTCGTCATTCAACCAGTTTTAAATGCGGCCCCTTGAGATCCAACAGGTGCTTCATTTAACATGTGGGATTTAAGATTTTGACAAAGAGATATAAAATAACGATGACAGTAATTTCCATTAGCACAAATAACTATACACATTGTTACTAATGTGTATACATGTCGAAACGTTATGAGCATTTAAACTAGTAGCTCTGCTTAGGCTCGTTGCCTCGGGTATTCTTATTGTCAAAGTATTGCTGCGAATTCTAAATAGCCGCATCCAATCAATTCCAGCACATTTATTTTCCTCCCATGACTTTGAAATTCTTTTATTATTTGTCACTGCTTATTTTTACGAAAACTCACAAGTAGCGTTTATAGTGAGTCCATGACAAAGTTTACAAGCTTTTATTAAATAATCAGTCAGAAGTTTTTGTTCTTCATCTGAGAAAATGTGTGTAAAGCCATGATTTCCATTAATATAAAAAAAAAAAAATTTTCATCTTCACTACATCCCTTAAATTTTGAAACCATTCTTTGCCAAGAAGATTTGTCTGCTGATGCACGTATTGACAATTCTCCAGCTAGAACCATCTCACTGGTTTTTTTTTCATTTTTCTTATGAACTCTTCATGATCTTGTTTACTTTTCTGAATGAATTTCAACTGATCCTTTCTACTGCGTTTTGGCATCTGGAAAAAGTTGTTTTACTGTTAAAGAATAAAGGAATACATAACTTTTTCTTAGATACTAATATACAAATTTGGAAAATCAAATATTTTATGGTACATGGTGGGATACTCCCTGTATATACCACATACTAGTGCCCCATTAAGTACCAGTACATTAAATTTAAAAACATAACTATCAGTTTGCTTAAATCATTTTTAGGAGAAATATACCAGTACACTTACCTTTTACAATCTTTCTAGTACCTCACTGTGAAATTTCAAAAACTGTAATAGTGTTGTTACATAATACTTTGGCATAAAAATCACATAAAAAGTTACTTTCTAGTCACGAAAATTTAACCGCAGCCATGACAGTCTTATACCAAGTCGGTAAATAGCAAAGTATAAGTCAAAAGAACTCTTCTATTGTGAGTTTTAACAGTACTTGGTCAGTACTTTTGTATAGTGCAGAAGTGTGGACGCTAAAAGTATCGATCATGAACAAAATTGAAGCATTGAAAACGTGGGTTCATAGACGAATGCTGAAGATACCTTGGACAGCAAGGAAAACTAATGAAGAAGTACTAAGGAGCATCAACAAAGATAGAGAACTGCTAAAGACTGTTAAACATCGAAAAATATCTTATCTGGGACATATAGAGAGAGAGAAGTTTATTGTTTTTAAAATGAGGTTACATTTATAAAACACAACATGGTATAGTACAAACAAGGTACAAGATATATTAAAATACTAATTATAAAATTTTCATAATTAAAAAATATATATCAATTAGCGCAACTGTCCTCAAACAATTCCTCTATACTATAGTAACATTTAGATAATAAAAACTTCTTGATTGCTCTTCGGAATACAAAAATATTGCTTGAGGATCTTATATCGAGTGGTAGATGATTAAACACTTTCTTACCAGTGTAAATAAATGATTTTTTAGTTAATGTAAAAGA